TTTGGGGTCAGTCATTTTTTTCTCTTTCTTTCTTTTTTTTTTGAAAGAAACTAATGCTTTTGTTCAGCAAGGATGTGTTAAATTGATAAAAAGTGATAATAAAGACTTACATTGCTTGAAAAGTCTAACAATATACGTTTTGAATAAACGCTGTTCTTTTTTTGCTTTAAACTTTATTCATCAAATAATCCTGAAAAAAAGTATCACAGGTTCCAAAAAAAAATTCAGCTTTGATCGCAGAAATAAATTATATTTTAAAGTATATTAAAATAGAAAACCATTATTTTGAATAGTAATAATATTTTACAGAATTACTGTAAAAATATTATACTGTTGGGAAGTCTGTATACAACAGTATAACAGTATAAATATTATACTGTTGGGAAGTCGTGGCCTAATGGTTAGAGAGTCGGACTCGTAACCCAAAGGTTGCGGGTTCGAGTCTCGTACCGGCAGGGATTGTAGGTGGGGGGAGTGAATGTACAGCGCTCTCTCCCACCTTCAATACCACGAGTGAGGTGCCCTTGAGCAACACACACACATACACACACATACATATACACACTCACACACACACAATGAAATGTACCTGTCTTATGCAGAAACAGGACTAAAGTTGTGAGCCAGGTCAGAATCACATGAGCAGTCCGAACTAAACAGCCTGATTTAAACATGTTCTCAAACATCCTGCGTCTTATGATCAACAACTATATTAAAAACACTTAAAACATAGCTAGATTATTAAATATACAAGTACTATTCTGTGTGTACTCTTATCATAAATACATTAACATACAGTAAAAAATTTTAAACAAATTTTAGAGATTGAATCGCTGGTCATGTATGTTTTTATTCCTCTGGTTGTGTTGTGTTGACATTTCCGGGTCTGGGCGGTTGGCTGAATTTCAAAATAAAAGTCATTTTCCCCGAGCGGGATTTCAAAATAAAATTCTGTTAAATATTAATTGTTCTAGAACTGCTTGTTTTAAATGATTAAATTAAAACTTTAGATTTTAGAAGTTTACATAAATCACGTAAAATGCCAAAATCATGTTTAAAATTGGAGAAGGAAATAGATTGCATCTTATTGAGAAAATAGTGCAGTGTTATATACAGCGTTTTGAGCTGCAGATGGCAGTGTGCACTCGCTGATCAGGACAAAGAGGCCTACTGTACATGAAACACACTGGAGTTTAATTTATTTAGTTTGGAGATATGATCCACATAACTGTTCAGAGACGTATTGTAATATGTGACCCTGGAACACAAAACCAGTCATAAAGGTCAATTTTTGAAAACCCCAGCGACTTAACACTGCTTTTGTGCTCCAGGGTCACATATTAGAATTAGTATTGTAATATTATACAGAGATGTATTATAATATTACCACATTATGTAAGAAAGGCCTGATTTCATTTTTAAAATGTAGCTTTATATATATATATACACACACAAGGTTTTTTTTTTTTCAAGTGGACTTATTTCCAGAATAAATTAAAATATTATTTTAATTAAAATATTGTTTTAGATAATAAATTTAAAATATTAAACAAGTGGAATGTTTTTAGTAAAAATGCTTTTAGTGTGTATATATATATATATATATATCAAAAATTTGGAAGCATTTCTAAAAATCAAAAACACCAAAACAACATACTATGAATATTACGTTTTTATTGAAAAAATAAATTACATTTAAAGGATTTCTTTAAAAAAAAAAAAAAAAAAAAA